TTTTTTGGGTTTTTTTTTTTTTTTTTTTTTTTTTAATATTTTGGCCATGACTTCAGCACTTCATTATTCTTTAGGACAGTATTTTTCCATCAGAAGTGCAAAAGTAATTTAAGCAAAAACTCAGTCCAGTTAATGTGGTTGCAATTACAGCCATTGTTATTTCTTTTGCTAAGTGGATTTGTCTCGATTTTGAAAGCTCCATTATTTGTTAAGATTCAAGTGGAGGCGACAGACACATAGTCGGAAGAGTAGAGAAACATATGGTGCTTGTTGCTCAGTTGGGAAGTTTGGTGGAAATCTGGTGGACTCATTCATTTTTCCTTCCTGTGGCTGGAGCATTGTTTGAGAACATGAATGTAATTCAACATGTAAAGGAATTCCAGGTGACATTAGAATGATGAAATGGAGAAAGGCTGAAATCTTTGAATATGTGTCATTCTTCGTTGGTAAGGTGCTTGACTGTTAGCATTGAGCTTTACTGTCTGACTACAAAGACCCTCAGTAGACTGTCTATATTAACTAAAATTGGATATTGCAGGGATTTCATAGTTTTTTATACATTCCAGTAATATTGCTAGCCTGTTATAGAACTTTAGGTAGTTTTCAGGTCATGTTTGAATATTTTCTCTGTGGTTCTTAACTGATGAGGTATACAGGATGTAAAATTGAGGCTTAGGGAAATTAAGTTGACTTTCTAATATCACTTGTCTAGTCATCGGTAGACGTGGAATTGGGATTCAGACCTTGGGACTCCTAGACCAGTGCTCTTTCAAATATGTCATGCTTCCTCCCTCAGTTTTATTGCTTTTCTTGCAGTGGTAGGAGCATTACTGAGAAAATTTTAAGCTCCAGAAGAGTAGAAAAATAGTCTGTTTTGTTTTCTGCTGCCTAGCCCATGACCAGTAAAATAATTGTTGAAGGAATAAATAAATGAACTGCAATCATTCCACAATTTTAGTACCTGATTTATCACTTTTTGTTAGCAATGCCTAAGCACACTTCTGCGCTTGATAATTATTTAACCAGTTTTACTTAAAGCATCATTTAATGCCTTGTATATGTACTAACACCTAGCAGAGAATTTGCTTTATTTCTGTTTTCAATTATTCTCTAACGAAAACGTCATTTTAAATTCCAGGCATATGTAAAAGCTATTTAAGTCCACTTCAGTCCAAAAATACAGTAGCCAGACATTCTGTTCTACCCAAATATCCAGGGTAGGAAACCAAAGGGAGAACTCCTGGCAAAAGGTACCAGGAAATAGCCTTTCCTTAAGACGTTTCATTCCTCCGGGGGCTGGGGCTGGGGGAGGTCCTTAATATCATGTCAAAGCATAGGATACTGCAGTTCGTAAAGTTTTAACCAGAACACCCCCCACCTTACACTGTGCGGCAGAGCTGGGCTTTGCGAACATGAAATAGGCTTTATGGACATCTGTTACTTCTGGAGTTTCATTAGTTGAATTTTGAAAGGCCGTTGTAATGTGGAAAAGGAAAAGGTCCGTAGTTAGCTTTCATGGGATTTTTCTAGGTTGATCCTGTATTTGGATTATTATTTTCACTTTTATTCCTTATATATTTTATAAATATTTAAATATAAATTGAGTTTTAAAGAAAGAGAAAAACCAACCTAGAGCTTTTGGGTTAAAAATAATATGGCACACAATAGAATAACCTAGAAACTGATCTGGAATTACAAATGACAAGAGTGGGTTAAGGCACTGAAAGCTTAAGGGGTTCTGGTTTTGGTAACCAGCTCCTGAATCTCCTATATCAGATGAAAACACATTTACTTTAAAAAAAGTGTTTTTGAAATAAAGCCAACATACCATGAAATTCACCCTTTTAATATGTACAATTAAGTTTTTCAAAATTGTATTCATAGAGTTGTACGACCACCACGGCTATCTAATTTTAGAACATTTTCTTCTCTGCAAAAAGAAATGCCGTATTAATTGCTCTTTATTTCCCCTTCCCCCAGCCTGTGTCAAAACTAATCTACTTTTTGTCTCTATGGATCTGTCTGTTTTGGACGTTTCATATAAAGGGCATCACACAATAAAGAAGCGGTTTTTGTGACTGGCCTCTCATATCTTTCTTGGATATGGGCACAGCTTTGCACACGTACCTGGCCTTCTACGATCCCAAGGCATACGTCAGAGCTTTTCAAAGGCCCCTTTGGACACCTCATTCTCCAGTTTTTCCTTTTAAGGCTTTTATCAGGCTCTTATTTCCAACAGGTATTTTTGCCTTGGGTGGTTGTGATGTTAAACAATTGCCACAGATTGTGCAATAAGCGCCCCAGGGATAGAGCTGTTTGCATAGAGAAAGCTCTGAATCAGGTCATATAAAGACCAGCCCTGAGAATGAATCCTTTCCAGGGAGCTTCCAGATAGGTTGAACGAGGACAGTTCTCTGAGGATGGCTTTTTGTGGAACTTCAAACCTATTCTACCCTCTCCATTGCCTCCTAAGTTGCCAGTTTTCATAGTTACCCTGGTTGCAAGGCCATTGGTTTTCAAGGCTATCACAGAACTGAGAAGAGGGCAGACGTAACAGGGCAGGTTAAAATGCTAAAAGCTCATAGTTCTACTGTGATCCAGACATTTTTCTTGAGTAATGAAAAATGCAAGCCTTTGGTTAAATTCCAAAGTTCTGAAAGATTTGATAATTTTTTCCAGTGCTTTTACTGCTTTCATGGAGGAATAGATTTTGGAGGACGTTACCCTCCAACATTTTTCATCTCTTCCAGTATTGGGAGTTGATTTTTCTTCTTTTTATAATGCATAAATATGATTATATTATATATACAGAGTGTTCCAAAAAATGTATATGCATTTTGAATAATTATAAAGGCAGTGTTTATTAAAATACATTTTATTTTCAAAATGTAATAGAATCTACAAACACTGTGTGTATACATTTTTGGGGCACCCTGTATATTAATTTAAAATGTAAGCCTCTTTTCCCTTTTTGTGTATAAATCACTTCATTCCTTCTTCTTTTGCGTCACATTACTCTATGCTTACCCACAGTTAACCCATGTTAACAACCTAGCGTGCATGATATTATAGTTTTCTCCATGCTCATACTATTATACACAAACACATGTACAGAATAACATACATACAGAGATGATTTAGTCGTTTTTCAAAAAGTGGGATCACATTTGTTACATATATTTTTCTATGTAATGTTCTTTTTGTTCAAGAATGCTTCATGTGAATGTCTCTAACTCATTGTTGCAGTGAACAGTATGCCATGCCATTGCACCATA